CATATTAGCAACTTTTTTTTTTTTTATGTTTATTATTTGAGAGAGAGAAAGAGAACAAGCAGGGGAGAGTCAGAGAGAGAGGGGGAGACACAGAATCTGAAACAGGCTCCAGGCTCTGAGCTGGCGGCACAGAGCCCGACGCGGGGCTCGAACCCACAGACTGCGAGATCACGACCTGAGCCGAAGTCGGCTGCTTAACCGACTGAGCCACCCAGGCATCCTCAACTTACTTTTAATGGAATGTTATAGCCAAAATTAGATCTGAAGTTGGAAGCTTCTTCTCTTGCAATGTCTGCTAAAGATCGCGCATCCGCCAGCAAACCTGCTACTGCCTGAAAGAAAGTAGGTACCAATTTAGTAAATAAATACCTTCCTATCACAAACCAAGGAAAGTGTGTAATTACTGTAGGCTTACTTAATATTTTAACAAGCATCACCATTAGAAACCATTTGGCTTAAAGGTCTTTATAAGGCACTCTGGCATTTTGATGGGATGGGATGAAAAAAGAAGTATGGAATTATAGTTCAGAAATTTACCAAGTGTGACTTCATTGTTTTGTTCAATGACATTCACAAGCAGTATTTCTGTAATTAATCCTCCATGTCTCCCAATTTACCAGTCACTCTAAATAAGCAACAAGAATAAAACTATTGATCTTGATCAGGACTGATCTCTATTTAAAGCAGTTCTATGTCAAGTTACTACAAGTTTGGGTCTAAAAGCCCAACCTCAAATCTTTTTCAGCTTATTGACTAATAAATTGCAAGGACAAACCAAAACATGACAAACCACACATCTTCCAAGACTGGTTAACTGCAGTTACCAAACCATGTGCTGAGTGAGATATGCTGGGGGCACTATAGTGAACTCAGTTGTGCAACATTTGGAATTTGGGGGGATACAGATGTTGAAGTAGCTCAGTTTCAACATTAGATCATTCATACTCCTTTTTTTTTTTTAAATGTTTATTTTTGAGAGAGAGAAACAGAGTGCAAGTTGGGGAGGGGCAGAGAAAGAGGGAGACACAGAATCTGAAGCAGGCTCCAGGCTCTGAGCTGTCAGCACAGAGTCCGACGTGGGACTCGAACTCTTGAACCATGAGACGAGATCATGACCTGAGCTGAAGTTGGACACTTAACCGACTGAGCCACCCAGGCGCCCTGAGATCATTCATATTCCTTTCAATGCCATCATACTGTTGAGCACCTGGGTTGTTGTGATAAAAAATAAGTATCATACAAAAATCCATTTTGAACAGGAAACGGGGGGGTGAGGAGAGCGCAGTTTAAACTTAAATGTAAAGTGTAAGAAGTTGTGCAGTGCATGTTAGTCATTGTTATTCTTTAAAAATAAAAATATTTTTCTAAAAAAAATAATATTTTTAATTGTATGTGTATTTTTTCTTTCACGGTTATTAAATTTTGGGGACATAAACACTAAGTTGTTTGTAACTAAATGCATAATCAGAACCACTGGGTGGTTCTTTTGGTGTAGGTAAACCGACAAAAAAAATTACTGAAACTCTTAGTACTAGGAACCAAGAAGTCCAGGAATTGCCAGCTTATTTACAGAATTTAAAAGTAAGTGATATCAAAATAATAGCCACTTTTCTACTGCTACCTACTAATAGTAGTAACGATGAAAATTCCTAAAACACAGCACTCATTTCATGCTAAGCATTTTACTTAATTTTAACATTGTAACAACTGTTAGGAGGTAGGTATTACTACTGCCCTACTTTTGCAGGTGAGGAAACTGTTCACAAGAATTTCCCCAAGGTTATTCAGCCAGTAAGTTTCACCATTTAAAGAGTCTTCTGTTGCTTTGGAGAAAGCCTACTGTGAAGTCCAATAATTCTCAAACCACTGAAGAGAACTGCGGAGATGAAACATTAATCCTTTATTGTCTCCCTCTTCAACATGTAATGTTTTGCCAATTTCCAGCTATAAGGAATGCCATCAGTTTCCTGGCTTTAAATTAACAAATGAGACAAATTTTAAAGTTCTAGGGCAACGTTTTCCCATCACTACCTTTAAGGACACACAACTTTTTTCAAAACGCACCTACCTAAATTTTTCTTCTACTAAAAAGAATGTATAATTCACTAGTTTCTTCCTATCAGCTAGGTTACAATCTGGGAAGTTACATCAAAACATACCAGTTTCATATTGTATGTCAACTATACCCAAATTTTAAGAATAAATAAATATAGAGGTCCACATGACAGAAGAAAAACCATTACCAGTTTCACTGGCATAATAAATTTGTTTGGGAGAAAAAACGTGTTCAGAAAAAATAATCATTGAAGAAGCAAAAAAATCAGTAGCTTTATAGTTTACCAGCTACATTTTACACCTTCATTGGCGACCTACGCTGCCAAGATCTCTCTTCTTTTTTTTTTTTTTAATTTTTTTTTCAACGTTTATTTATTTTTGGGACAGAGAGAGACAGAGCATGAACGGGGGAGGGGCAGAGAGAGAGGGAGACACAGAATCGGAAACAGGCTCCAGGCTCTGAGCCATCAGCCCAGAGCCCGACGCGGGGCTCGAACTCGCGGAGTGCGAGATCGTGACCTGGCTGAAGTTGGACGCTTAACCGACTGCGCCACCCAGGCGCCCCCCAAGATCTCTTTTCTACACATACTTCCCACCCTTTTGTGTTTGTAACACCCATCATTTAGAAATACCAAAGGTAACCGCAGTATGAGTGGGTCCTATAGGATCTCACCCTGCAGAATGGACTCTGGAGTAACATGTAGGCCAGGCTGACCCAAGTTTGAATCCCAGATTACTTCTTTACCAGCTGTGTTTTCTTATCTATAAAAATGGGATTAATATTACTTTCACTGGGATATCAGACACAGGAAATTTATGTAAAGAGGTTCTAGCACAGTATCTGGCACACACATGTTCTCTTTTCTTCCTTGCCTTTTCAGTAACCAAGGTTAGAATCAGTCCTTTGCGTTTTTTGCTTTTACAGTCTGACATCTATATAGAATGACTTCAGTATATACCAGTAATGTATTTATGGCTTCACTTGCAATTATGCAGAGCAGTAACTAAATACAGCTGCAAGAAATAAAACAGTGTTTATTCCTTTCATTAAACATCGTTTCTTGGTGCTCCATTTTACTACAATACAAAGATACAAAAAGCTAAAAATTCTATGCCTCTCAAGCTTATACTTTCACTGGTGATCTACACTGCCAAGATCTCCTTTCTACACATACTTTCCACCTTTTTCCCCTCATTTTCTTAAGGCAATTTTTCAAATATATCTCCAATCAGGTTACAAGAACACTACCTTTCTTTTGGACAGTGAACTATTCACAAGCCAGTATCAGTAATCACTCTGTGATTACTTCTGGGGCTGCTCTCTGATTGGTTTCTGCCTCAGTTCTGACGTAATAAATGAGTTCCTATAATCACAGTTTAACATATTACGGTTACTTCACAAGAAAGAAATTGGACAACGCAAAAAGGAACATTTTAAAATGTGACCTACCATTCCAACATGCCGATCAACATTAAAAAGTCGTTTGTTGGAACCTTCTTCATAAAGTTTAGAAAGGACTAACTTTTCTACCCCAAAGACAACGCCATCTTTACATCTGATTCCAATAGCTGTACTGGAACAAGTAGAAAAAAATCAATTTTTTTTAACTGAAAATAAAAGGAACTTCATAAACTTTAAGTTTAAAAAAAAAACCATAAAAATAGGTAACATTTTTTAAAGCATGCTAAATTTAAATTTAAAACAAATACATTTGAAAACGAGAAAGAGGACAGCCTGAAGTGTGATAAATTAGGTCCATGTAAATGTACATCATGAGATGACCAAAAAAATCTAGCATATCATGACATAAAAAGATATTAATACTTGTGAGAAAAGATGCCAACAAAATAGTACAAAATGGCACAGTGTCTGACACATGATAATACACTATAATAAATGTTGACTTAGCTCATGTCCATTAAAAATGGTACATAAAAATGCATAGAAAAGACAGGTTATATACAAACCAAAAAGTAAACAGTGACTAATCTAAGTGGAAAAATTAGAGTTCTTTTCTTTTGCTCATTTGCTTCTTTTGCAACAACCAGTGCTTATAAAACTATATCAAAGAATATACATTTTAGACAACTGCTGAAAACAAAATGGATCTTAACCTCTTAAGTAAAATGTGGAGAAATTATATGCTACCACTTCAAGATGAAAATATATCATTAACTTTGTTCTTCTAATTCTTTTTTAATTTTTTTTTAACATTTATTCATTTTTGAGAGACAGAGCGGTAGAGGGGCAAAGAGAGAGGGAGACACAGAATCCAAAGAAGACTCCAGGCTCTGAGCTGTCAGCACAGAGTCTGAAGTGGGGCTCGAACTCACTGACCGCGAGATCATGACCTGAACTGAAGTCAGACACCTAATCGACTGAGCCACCCAAGCGCCCCTTTTTTTAAATTTTTTTTAATGTCTGTTTATTTTTGAGAGTGAGAGAGAGAGAGAGAGAGGAAGAGGGAGGGGCAGAGAGGGAGACATAACGTGAAGCAGGTCACAAATGGCAAGTTCGTGAGCTGAGCAGAAGCTGGACGTTTAACCAACTGGGCCACACTGGCACCCCTTCTAATCCTTTTAATAAAAAGGGAATTCTGATGAAAAAAAACAGATAAATGAACAGAGCCACACACAAATTTCACAAAAAATTTCAGACACTCCTTCTCTCATGTATCAGGTATCTTCAATGGTTCCCCTTTTGAGTTTAAACTCCTTGGTCCAGCTTTCAATCCTGAGAATCTACAAAGCCCATCTAGCTTATTGAATTTCCTATTATAAATCCCACACACTACTGAATTCAACTTCACTATCTTCCCTCAAACACCTTATGTTCATTTTTGCTTTTATGTGGTACTAGCAAAAAGTATTTACATGTGGACTTTACTAAAATTCTGCAAACGGGCACGTGGGTGGCTCAGTAGGTTAAGTATCCAACTCTTGATTTTGGCTCATGAGATAGAGCCCTGCATCTGGCTCTGCTGACAGCACAGCCCTGCTTGGGATTTTCTCTCTCCCTCTCTCTCCCTGCCCCTCCCCTGCTCTCTCTCAAAATAAATACACTTAAAAAAAAATAAGAGTAAAATAAAATTCTGGAAACACTTCCCTACTCCACCTCTAATCCAAAAGATTTCATTACATAAATGAAAAAATTTGGCTCAAACACCAACACTATTTGTTTACCAGGCAAAAAAAAAAGTCCTTCAAGAGGACTTTTTAAGAGAATGAGACATTATTAAATAAATTATTTTTAAAAAGTCTTTTAGGGGCGCTTGGGTGGCGCAGTCGGTTAAGCGTCCGACTTCAGCCAGGTCACGATCTCGCGGTCGGTGAGTTCGAGCCCCGCATAGGGCTCTGGGCTGATGGCTCGGAGCCTGGAGCCTGTTTCCGATTCTGTGTCTCCCTCTCTCTCTGCCCCTTGCCCATTCATGCTCTGTCTCTCTCTGTCCCAAAAATAAATAAACGTTGAAAAAAAAAAAATTAAAAAAAAAAAAAAAAGTCTTTTAATTCATCCCAAAGCTGCTTTAGATTCCAAGATACAACGATCATGTAAGTATAACTGACTGCAAAATCTCTTCAATAAAGGACTCATAAAATGTGTCAACAAGCTAATAGTTCAACCAAGATACTACAATGGTACCAAGGAATAATTTTGGCACATTACACTAAACAATAAAAGACAGAGTGAAGGAAATGAGTCCAACAAGAAGATATCTTAGTGAGTCCCACACTTTTGGGGTGTGGCAGCAGAAAAGAATTAAAAAAAAAAAAAATCCTGCTGGATGTGACGAACTGCATAGGACACTTCAAACACAAGGAAATAAAAGATAAAATGACAGGGGCGCCTGGGTGGCTCAGTTGATTACGCATCTGATTCTTGATTTCAGCTCAGATCATAATTTCACAATTTGTAGCCCCATGTCGAGCTCAGCATAGAGCCTGCTTGAGATTCTTCCTCTCCCTCTTCCGTTCTCCCACTTGCACTATCTCTCTCTCTCTCTCTCTCTCTCAAAATTTAAAAAAAGATAAAATGACAAAGTAACAAACCTAACAGCCAAGCAAACAATGCTATAAATCAAGAATTTTAAAAAGGAAAATGGGCTGGCAAAGATGATAAAGGAATTTGGTTATATACACTACATGTGAGACATGGTGGAATGTCTAAGTGGGTAACCTTGGAACCAACAGGAAATATAGGACTGAGGCTCATGGAAAGATCTGACCTAAAAAGAGATCCGGAAATGACCAGTAAGTTGAGATTATTTTAGGGCACCTATTATTTTGTACCAAAGTAACATAAAAACCCTAATTACCAAAAATATGGAAAAGGAGATACTTGATACCTGATTAAAACATACTAAATTTCAGGTAAAACAATGTTTCTTACCTACTATTTTCCACAGCTTTCATAGCATATTCAACTTGAAAAACTCTTCCATCAGGAGAGAATGTAGAGGCTGACAGGTCATACTGGGAAGAAAAAGGTAACAATAAGCTTAAATTATGTTATCTTTCGCAATAATAACCTTATTATCTTTATTTCTAAATGGCTTACACATCAGAAAGATGAGGGGAAGGAAGGAGTGTTAAATCTCAAAGATTTTGCTTTGAAGAGGAAAAGGCAGCATGTCAGAGTGGCAAAAGCAACTGAGAAAAGCTAGTTTAGATTTCTGCTACTGAAAAGCAACAGATACAAGTCCAAGGTAAAGTCAGATGTTTTCCGCACTGAACAAAGTTCATTTTTGTACAAAATGGACATGCTCTGGGCTCCAGATCACCACAATAAAGTGAGTAAAATAAACTTTTTGGATTCCCAGTGTATATTAAAGTTATGTTTATACTGTAGTCTACTCAGTGTGCAGGAGCATTATGTCTGAGCTGTTAGTGAGTTGTAATCACTGATCACAGATCACCATAACAAACTTAGGAGTAATGAAAAGGTTTGAAATATTGCAAGAATTACCAAAATGTGACACAGAGACATGAGGTGAACAAATGTTGTTGGAAAAATGGCAGCAACAGACGTGCTCAAAACACAAAATGGCACCAATAGACCTGCTGAAAACACAGTTGCTACAAACCTTCAATATGTTAAAAAGAAAAAAAAATGCAATCTGTGAAGTGTATGCCTGTACTATGGTATGGTAGAAACACAACTGTTGTCAGAACAGGTTAATTCATTGCTGTGGCACTAACAAACCGAAAGACCTTAGGGGAAAAAATACAGCATTTAAACATTTAATAAACATCTATTATATATAGTCACTATAAGAAATTACAAAGATGGGGCGCCTGGGTGGCGCAGTCGGTTAAGCGTCCGACTTCAGCTCAGGTCACAATCTCGCGGTCCGTGAGTTCGAGCCCCGCGTCGGGCTCTGGGCTGATGGCTCGGAGCCTGGAGCCTGTTTCCGATTCTGTGTCTCCCTCTCTCTCTGCCCCTCCCCCGTTCATGCTCTGTCTCTCTCTGTCCCAAAAATAAATAAAAAACGTTGAAAAAAAAA